TAGGTCATGTGCGAAATGACCATAACAGCCGGGTTGAATTTAAACTGCAGTGTTGTGGATGTGTGTGCGTGTGTTTGCATTGGAGCTGGTTGTCATGGACATTCGTTCGACTGTCAGCTGGTGTCTATCATGTGCTTAGAGTGCAATATTGAGTTATTATAGGGTGTGTTCACATTAAAGTGTCAATTATAATATCTGGACTTTAAAAGATTGTAACTAAAAAATTACTGTCATGATTAGAAAACAATGTCAAACAAAGATATATCTAATATATATTCTGGATCAAATCAAAAGAAAAGATTGACAAATACATTTTTGCCGTCATTTTAAAAAACTAGATCAGCTCTGATTTTACCATTCTACTGTGACTCCAGTTACATAGAAAATGAAAGGTCATCAGTGTGACAAAGCGGCAGATGAACTCCGACAGATTAACATGGCAAAAACAACATAAGTAAATCACTTGATTTAAAAAGGAATCTATTAATACATTAATACATTAAGTCAGAGCTGCACCCAATTCACGTATACTGATCCTCCTGCAGGTGGCGAGTCCACAGGAGCCTTGATCTTTCAGCGGGGGCTTCCTAAAAGGAAGCCTTTTCATTTAATTTTTAGTGGAAATAATTTTTTCGATCAGTACAATCAATACAAATTTAAATGACCCTTGTTAAATGTGTAACAGATGTGATGAATTTAGTTAATTTTTCTCAAAAAATTAAACTAGATTAAATAATATTGTCTGGTATCACAATTATAGTTTATAGTTTATTTGGTTGGGACAGTACATTTTGATGAACGCACCACTCTGTAGCCTTGGGCTAATTTCCATCCGTTGTCCCACAGTCGCACTCACAAACACCCACTCATTCACCCTGAACTATTGTACATATTTTTAGTGGTAGGAGAAACCGAGACACAAGGAGAACATGTAAACTCCACTCAGAAAGGCCCTGTTCTGACCGGGATTCAAACCCAAGACCTTCTTGCTGAAGTAAATGTAATGTGCAGTGAAAGTAATCACTTTTCTTGTTTCTATTTTGTAGGAAAGAATTTTCTGAACAAATTGAGTGTTGTTGAATTTTTTGTTGCACCAGTATTCTGCCTTAAAAAAAATGGTGTAAAGTGTTACAGCATCAGGATCTAAACCACGGAGGATTGACGAGAAAATAAAGCAAGAGTACTCCAGTGTGATGGATTATCATGCTTGGATCTCATGTGACACAATGAACATCCCCATGACACAAAACTTCAAAAGATTGCAGTTCCAAAATATATTAGCTTTTTAGGATTCAATGATACATTTATAACTCATGAACAATAGTAATGTGTGATTACACAGACCTAGGTTTCTTAGAAGCTGTAATGTGATATCCTTGCAGGGAGCTTGAGGGTTCTGTAGCAACTCATCCAGGACTACTGTCCCAAGTGCACTGGTGACCATGGGGACCACTGATGCCTTTCCTTTCTGGCCCTCGTAAACTCTTATCTGGTAAGTCTTTAATGTTCTTTTTCCCTGATAATACCATTTAATAACATGTCAACAGCAAATGCTTTCCTCTGCTCTTTGTCAGCATCTGTAATTTACACTGTATCTTGACTCAATCATTCTCTACCACCTTCAGAGGTGTACAGGATTATAGCCATGCAGAGTAACTCAGAGTAACATCAACTTAGTAAAAGGTTGGCTACAGATAGAGACAAAATTGTTACTTCCACACACAACAGAACACTAAAACTGCACTAGCACAAAATCACCACCAGGGGTCAACAGTGCACATGGGAACTCAATCAACTCAGTAAATGAAAAGTAAGTAAGTAAGTAATCTTTATTTATATACCGCCTTTCACAGACCAGAGTCACAAAGCGGTTTACATTTCTTATTTTTTGGGCACTTGTCCTCTCACACAGAGATGGGAGCGGGGTCGCCGAACAGGAGGCGCATGCCAGACCTATTGTACATATTTTTAGTGGTAGGGGAAACCGGAGTACCCAGAGGAAACCTACACAGACACGGGGAGAACATGAAAACTCCACTCAGAAAGGCCCTGGTTCGACCAGGATTCGAACCCAGGACCTTCTAAGTAAGCATACAATTCTTAGAAGTATCTTCTGATATGAAGGAGAACAGATGATTTTTATTTTATTTTATTAAACCTAAATTAAATTAAGCTGGTTTTCTTTCTATGTTTCTATGAGTCTTACCCATAATGGATTTGGTTTAGAAATATGTTCCCTGAATATTTTATTATATGCTCAATATGGTTAAAGTAGCAGTATGTAATATTTTGCATGTCAAGTCATCATTAAATGGCCCCCATATTTCAAAAGGCATTATTAAATCATGCTCGTTTCTTTTTAACATCTTTAACTGATAACAGTAGTTCAGCCGAGATATTTAATAATTCAAAATTAGTTTTACGACCCGCGCGGCTCACTAATCTCAGCGGTAAAATAACATGTGGCGCAGAACTAAAAAAGGTCTTATTATGACTCTCAAATCATTAATGACAAAACATAGACTAAAACGAGGATTTATATCGGGACGCCTTTGAACAATTGAGACGGATGATAAAAGGTTATGTCATGCAAAATTTGCTGGTTTGACTGCGTTCTTCAGAATAATGAATACAGCGCGAATCGGTGGTATGGTGTTTAAAATTACGCGCGCACGATGCAGTAACCCGGGTTCGATTCCAGGCAGGGTCGTTTTGTATTTAATTGCATGTTATCACATTCTATGACAGAATGCTCTAAATACGGTAAAAGACGAAGGTCAAGACGTTTTTTTGCAGATTATAACTTAATTGTAAAAAGAATCATTTGAGACCACATATACCCCAATTAAAATAATGTTAATCTCTTTTTGATGTGGGACTTATACATAATTGTCTAAAAAATAGGGAATAAATAAAATTGAAAGGTGATATCCTCAGGAGCAAACCCTGATGTTGATACGCTGAAGAAATATTTTGGATAATCAATAATTACATTGAAGCTCCTGTGGACTCACCACCTGCAGGAGGATCAGTGAGGGGCTGGTGCTATGTGTACTGGGTGCAGCTCTGACTGCAAACCCCCCCGACCCAGAAATGGATAAAGGGGAAGAAAATGGATGGATGGATGGATATAATTACATTGCTTTTATTTTGTTTTTTGTTTTTTATCTCAAATGTCCAAATGTCCAAATAAAAAAAAAAAACATCCATTCAACATTAGCATGCCTCATGGCAATGTGAATGGAGACAGACAAACAACTGATAAAATAATTTCCTGTGTTTGCTGCTGGATTTGGTGTGTATCTGGCAACCTGAGTCAGGGAGAGTGGGAGAGGACTACAAAATATTGACTGTGACTGCAGTACCACTTTTGGCCAGATTTTTACATATTGTTCCTTTAAAAAAAATAGAAAATGAATTGGTTCACTTTGGCCATTAAAAATGTGTTTGAGAACATTTGGTATTATGTAAGAATGAATGGGGAAATAATAGTCTTATAAATATGCATATGACAACATGTATGAATAAGAGATGGTCAGCAGGAGCAAGACACTCCAATCTCCAGGTAGTAGATGGACTTTCCGACTTTTATGTTTTACAATAGAGTGGTTTAGAAGCCTGTGCATTTGAATTCCGACCACGCCTGCCACGGGTTCACATGAGAAAACTGCTGTGACTGATAAGATTTTTCTTCCTAATGAGGTTATATTTTAGATCTCCAACTGCAACTTTGTCATTGATTCCTGAACATCGTTCTACAGAATCTGCTGATAACTGTGCTGAATCCATCCGACCCTCAACAGGATTCCCAGTGCCTGTATGATGGAACCACCACCAAATGTTATTGTAGGAAGCAAGTGTTTTTCTTAGAACAAGGTGTTCTTTATCCTCCTTGAGTAACGACACTGGTTTTGCAAAAATAAAAACCTCAAGCAGCCCTGTTTGTGCCGTGTGCAGAGAAAATGCTGTTTTCTATCCCTTGTATCTCCTTGTCTAGAGTGCACTGAATAGTCGAACGATGCACAGTGACACCATCTGCAGCAAGCTGATGTTGTAGATCTTTGAAACTGTGGGTTGACTGTTTTCACCATCCTGCTTATCTGAGATTGTTTTTTGTTTTCCACTTCTGGCCTCAACTAGAACTGTGCTTGTGGTCTTCTAATTCATCATAATAGCATAAAAATTGTTAGGGGTGCCCAAACCTTTTTGTACCACTGTACCTAAATCTCCTAAAGCCATTACAGGCGGGCCTTTGGAATGAAAGACCAGGGTGGTGGTCCCTCTCCCCGGTCTACTCCAAGGTACTGGGGAAGTGATGTTCCTCCTGAATACCCGATATTCAGGAGGAACAGTGTGGTTTTTGTCCCTGTGGCAGAACTGGACCAGCTCTATACCCTTCATCAGATGCTTGAGAGATCATCAAAGTTTACCCAACCTGTCCACATGTGCTTTGAGGTCCCTCGGAAAGCGTTCGATTGCATTCCCTAGGGGGGTCCTTTGGGGGGCTCTCTGGGGTCCTCTGCTGATGGCCGTCTGGTATGTATGACCGGAGTCAGAGCTGTGTTAATGTTGCCGGCAGTAAGTCAGACCTGTTCACAGTGCATGTTGTCACCAGTTCTTCTCTTCAGCACTTACAAATCTGAGGCCATGGTTCTTGGCCAGAAAGAGGCCTTGCCCTCTCCAGGTGGGTGGAGAGGTCCTTCTTCAAGTGGAGGAGTCTTGTTCATGAGTGACAAAAGGATGGAGTGTGAGATTTACAGTGCTCTGCTATATTGGCAAATCAACAAATTCATTATGCCTTTTGTACCAACAGCTGTTGTGATTTTCAAAGCTACAAAAATGTTGGATAGATTTCTTAGGAATAAGGAGCAGTGAAGGAGTTAATTTGGGGAGTGAATATTGGGGGCGGAGATTGGCACTGTTTAAACTTTTGACGTCTCCTGTCTGATGTATCATTACACGAAGTGCTACTACTGTCAGTTCTGCAACACCAGCTGAAAATGACGACGCTCCCTCCTAAATCTTCCTCCAGTGAGTACAACTACTACTAGTATTAATGTAGCATGCACTGATCAAGATCACAACAGTATTGCTGACAGCGTATTGTTTAAAGGTTCTAATATTTGAGTTTGAATCTATAGAAGAGTGGTTTCATGCAATACTGCTGTCTCATTACTACTTTGCAGAAGTGCACTATTTTGTTGAAAAATCTAGGTTTATGACAGAAATCAACAAAGCCACTGAGAAAGTATGCTCAGAACTAACAAAAAAGACAAAAAGTGCGTAAAATGATAATAATAATAATAATAATAATAATGATAATAATGCAATAGTTTTAGAAGGGTCTTTTTGGACAGTCACATATGCTTCACATGTCATTATTCTTTCACTCGATACACGGTGGTGATAAACTACTACTTCAACAGCCCTGGAGCACACTGACAGAAGCGAGGCAACCAGTGTATGTTCTAGGCAAGGTGAACTGTCTTCCCTAAGAACACAACAGCACGGTACAGCGGCCCCACTGTGGCCCCTAGTGTCCCTAGATATCTGACCTCACAGTACCAACCATGCCATGCCCTGACAGGATCTGGTATTCAGATGCAGGTGGCGCCACAATTGTACTGAGCCAACATTGTTCATTCTAACACAATAAGTTTAGCTTCAAACTATTCCCTTGCAGATTTAGCTTTGCATTTAGGGTCATAGGCCCTCATTTATGAAACTTGCGCAGAATAGGGTGGACATTTTTGGTGTATATTCAATTTACGCTGGACTCAACGCAGGATTTATGACAGATTTGAGCGTACGCACCTGCGGCTGTTGATAAATGCCGCGGTGAAAACCAGCGTATTTATGAAAGTCACGCCTAGAAATATTCAGAAAGTGCCTGTTCCACGCCCCGTTTTTACGACAGGTCAGCAGGAAGCCGGCCAGCAAGACAAGTTTGGAAGCCTCTAAAAGGCTTCTTAGTGGCACGCACTGAGTTTATATTGAGTTTTATTTTATCCACACAAAAAAACCCACAAACAAAACGCTATATTATATATACTGTACACGTTTCTTCCTTAGTGTCCAGACCCACTGCAGCGCTCATCTCTTTAGAAATGAATGAATAAATGAATGAATGAATATTAATATCTCAGCGGTGACATCATTAACTGCAGGGGCGTCAAGCGTCAGCGATATCTTCTTGTGAATGCAATGGAGCGATCTCTGTGAGAGAGAAAGTATGCCTACGCTTTTGGGAGGTGTCCGTGATTTCACAGAGAAACTCCAAAAGTCTATGACATATGGCGAGTGCGGTTGGACCTCTGTGGCACCCGTGAGCCCGTTCTTTGCCATATCTCTGCCATGGCTGCATTTATGGGGCTTTATGCACAAAACTAATGAAAAAATAAGTTGCTTTGCCAGAGGTGATTGAGACAAAACAAATAGCCATGCGTAATTACGCAGCTATTTGCCACAGATTTACGGGGAAATAGATGGTCAGTAAGTAAGCCAGGTGTATTTGCATATAGCGCCTAAACAGAGCAGGATCACAAAGCGCTTCACATACAAAACAAAAAAAACATACAGATGAAAATAATAAACGTACAAGTTGGATTTTAAAACAAGGAAACAAAAGAGGGTCCTCATTATGAACTGTGATGTATTCGAAATGTGCGTGTTTGTTGTTTTCTGATGCAAAAATTCAAATTTTGAAACATGATGCTCAATGAAAACACAACCTATAATATGTTTATTGTTGTCCAAATCTTGCATTTCATGCGTGTTTTGGCGTGTTGTTATGAAGGTTGAAATGAGCGTACACATTTAGACCACCTATACATAGTTCCCACAGACCAATGAATGTCACATGACCTCCTCGGAGACGCCATCTTTGATGGCACGCTGCTGTGTTTGTGCATTCCATTAAACAGAAGAATGAGAATAAATGTAGATATTCAAACGCAAATTGGAAAAAAAGGGCAACTTTTGAGCAAATAATTGTATATTAATACAATGGCACCACAGTTTAACGTGCTACGGACATGTTTTACATATTTGATCAAATTATGCAGCAAAAATTAACAAGCAATGCAAACATTTCTCAAAAACTTTAGATTTAATACCAGTTGGAGCTCCATTTAATTATTTTAATATTATATTAACAATTAATTTAATTAATGCTAATGCCACACGGACACTCTGGATTGCTGTTATTGTTTATTTCCGCGTTTTTGACCGTATGTTTTGGTGAATGGTGGGCAACTGATTTTTCCAGGCGTAAAGAGCAGTTTATTTTATGACACAGATCTTTTTACAGAAGCAATGCTGTTTGTGAACATTGTTTTAGCCCACCATAGAACTATTATTATCTATTTAATACATTTACGTTGCCCTCGAGAGCCTCGGACGCGACACCGATCCTCCTCATAATAAAGTAATCTAACGCTAAATAATGAAACTCTCAAGTTACCAGCTATCAGCATACACAAGTTAGTACTGAGTAAATTACGTCTGTCAACACATTATAAGATACGATACGCACCTGACACAAAGTGCTCCGAGCATATTCTTGCGTGTTTTGAGGGAGTTTCTTGCCTGTTTATCTTTGCAAGCCATAACCTCCGTGGTTGTTCTGACAAAAGCTTAGTCTTCTCACATTCATGAAGTCTAATGATGGGTATACTGTAAAATCCAAGTTTAACGGAACCTCCGGCACGATTTGAACATCCATTGACCCAGCAGGAGATGACCATTTTCAACTTTATCACGACATTAACACGTTTCAGCTTCTTTTTCTATTGTTTTGCCCACAGCATGCCAACACAAATGGCGCCGGGTCGGCAAATCCCCGTGTGTAGTGACGTCATGTGGGAACTATGTATTGACTTGCCGTATATTTCGTGCCCACGTCTAGATTGATAAATGCCGAAAAGTGTTTCATAAATGTCCTGCTGGAAGGTGAATCTTTCCCAAGGCAATGCATGTCAAGCCTGTGTTTGTTTTAACGTTGATAATTATGGCTTTAAATGTTTCTTTTTTTAAAGTAAATTAGTTGAAAGTTTTATATTGGGTTTTTTAAGCATGCAGTGAGCCATATATACAGTATAAACCTTAAAAAAATGAAGGCTTGATATATCTCTGTTATGAAATGAGTCATTGATCACACATTAGTTTCACAACAATATTCTTATTTTCCGTGTCACACTTTATTCTGTTCATGTTACTAGACATTGTGATGGAAGCAAAGGTGATTATTAAAACAATCGCATTTATGAGGAACCAGAGGATTAATGCTGTTTTCTGATGGATTATTGTTACAGCTTTCCAAAATGTGTTTTACAATCAATTCTTGCACCAGTGACATGATGGGACATGGACTGCAGCTGACTCACCTTTACACAGCCTAGCAACCGATAAACTATGACGCATTATTTTTGTGTACTTGCATTCATATTCCATATTTTGGAATGTGAAGCTTCTTCATGTAGGAAATACAATGGAATAAGAATCTATTTAATTGGGTTAATCGCGTTTATGTCCTAGTTAGTTAGTCAGGATTGATGCCAATTAATCATACTTTCCTGTTCTAAATTTTCCTTGATTTGCTTTAATGTATATGTATATATACAGTATATAAAATCTCTGCTTTTGTTATTGCTTTTTACGGTGTATAAAATGGGGAATTAGACCATGATGCAGTTTTGATTCATAATCAAGCAATGAACCTCTTTATTCACATTTCATTGGCAGAAAAGAAGAAATGTTCAGTTTAGAAGAGAGCGCTTTTTGTTCTTTCATCTGAGGACGCACTGTCAGAACGCGTTGAGCTGCAGTGCATATGTGGCTGGCTGCAAACGTAACTGCTGGAATGTCAGCATTAACGTTAACTTGTAATGAATCACAATTGATTGCATATTTGTCCCTGTGCTAAATGCTTTGCGTTAACTTTGCTATTAACGCGTTTAACTGACAGCACTAAAATAAATGTAAGTTTCATATCAGAACCAGGTATCGGGCGATACTCAAAATCAAATGACTGACTAGTGGACAAAAAACTGGATTGAGAGAAAACAGTGGTGATGCAAATATGGACTTTACGAAGTCCACAGGCCTGCTTATTTACAAGTCTTCCTTGGGTAACAGCAAGAGCACAAACATAAAATCAATCGAAAATATTAACCCTCTATTGCCATTTGAATCATATTTGCGTTTCTGAGCTCCCTAGATAAGCAGGGAAAACAGAAATGACGATGTGGTGAAGATGATTATCAATAGGCATTCGAGTGACATGGAGGAAAACATTTTTAAAAGATATAAATACATTTCTACATGATAGAAAACACTATTATTGTATATAGATGGCTCTGTTCACACTTGCCAACAAATGGAGCTTCACGAAGGTTCAAACTGGTAGACTGATTGCCAAAGCTATCCCCTCCAAGCCTGCCTCTCATCCTCGGCCTATCGCACAGCAAACGCCCATTCCCAGCCAACCTATGCAGGCCAGGCAAGCAGCTTAAAAGCGGAGACTCCCACTTCACGGCCTTCTCAAGCCTCGCAAACCACCGCCTCCCCTCGTCCGCTTCTCTCTCCTTGCTCGAGCATGCGCTCTTTCCTGCTGCCCTAATGCCACCACCAGTTCCTAGGCCTCGGGGGGATCGTGCGCGCACTAAGCAGGAGCCTCGCTGGCCCTAATTGCCGCACGGGGGCCTAGGACGCCAAACTACCTATCAATAAAAACATTCAAACTGCATTTTGTCTTCTGAGTCTCTCCAGATTGAAATACCCTATGTATCAAAAGTGATATGAAATCAATAGTCACATATGCAGATTGAAATATTATTAGGGTTTGTGATAGTGTAGTTTCAAGCTCATACTCCATTACTTTTAAGGAAAAGTAGCTCTTGGAATTGATTACTATTACACTTAATTATGTAATGGAAAAAAAGTGAAACAGATTACCTCTGCATCCCAACATGTCATGCAGTGACTCATATGGCTCTTCCTTACATGTGTGCAATAGTTCAAATTAAACTATC